GGATGAGTGAATTGGGGGTGTGTGAAATTTGAAAAAGCTCTTAGGAAGGTCTGAAGAAATCGGCCAGAATTTTTCTAAGGAAATAATTACTTTTTGAAATGAATGGAAATGATGCAAAAATATTCAAAATTAATTGATTAATATTTCAGGATAAAACTGAGATACATGAAATAGAAGGGGATCTCAAATTTGGGTTTTAAAATGATGAGCAGAAATAAAAAAGGCTTTTCATAGCTGTTTCATGATTTTTTTTGGTGCAGCTAAGCTCACGGTAACTTCAAAAAATTGGTGTCCACGTCCCTTTAAACCCGAAAAACACATCCCGTACGCCGTTTCGAACCCCCTAGGAACCCGACACGACCTACAGTTTAACAACCCCAGAAAAAATGACCTTGGGACTTGTGGATTGCCCCTCAAGGGGTATCTTGTTTCCAAAAAAAACAAGACCAGAACAGGACAGGTTGGATCTGTTTTAAAAAAGATGGTACGTACAGGTATAGTCAACTTACTTTACGTGAAAAACTATAATCCCGGAATCCTTTCGACGTTAATTTTAAATGTTTAAATGATACGAAATTACGCCATTATTGTTACTTATATTTTTACAGCATTTTTTGGTCCTGATTTTTGTAGATTGTAGTATTGACTTAAATGGTGGCTTTTATTCAGGAAATCAAATTTTTTTAAAGTTACTTTTGGGTAGGCTGTATTTATTTTTTGTTTGTTAATTGGTAACACCTGGGATTGACTATAAAAATGCGTTTAAACAAGTACGTAAATGGATAAAAATTCAATTCGGCAAATTCTGCGGGTATATGCGTTTTGTAAAGGTCCAAAGGCGAAAAATTTTTACTGGCAATTAAAAAATACTTGTTGGGATATAATATTATATTTTCAGGATTGTTTTATTAATTATCCAGATCAATCTGACAGCTGATCAACTTGAGAAATCAATCCCTCATGTACGTCAATGCCCTCTGGACACAATTTGCCCCACCTTACCCAAATGATGGACGGCCGATCGGCCAAAGTTTTTCTAGCGGCTTGGGGTGTTCCCTCAACCTCTCGTCAAGAGTCGTGTTGACTACCTGCGTACTTTACACATCAACGGGAACTAAGTGATTTGAGAGAGGTGGTTCCGGGATTAAAATAGAACTTGATCAGTGTAAATTCGGTACCTTTTAGCCCTCCGGAACACAAGGTTTATACATGAAAAATGATTTTGATCGGTAACTAAATTACTTTTAAGCAATTAAAATGCCGCTTAAGTTACATGATTAAATTAACACGAAACACAAGGAATGCCGGGGTGAAAATTGAAGTTGGTTACGCGTGAATTTGGGTATTTTAGCGCTCTCGAAACTAAGGTTTAAAAACGTGGAAAAATCCTTGTGATTTGGCGAATTAGCATAATCTATCTTAAAAAAGTATAATGTAACTTACATTAAATGATTAAATTAACATGGAATACACGAAGCCGAAAAATTGTTGGAAAAGCAATATTTCAGCGATAGAAATACAATTTCGAGTTTTCAAAGACTTTAAAAAACCAATATTCAAATTTTCGGGCTGAAAAACGCGGTAAAAAAACCTTGTGTATACCGAATTACTATTCCAAAAACGATACTTTTGCTTATTAAACGTTTTTCCCAGCTTTTCGATGTCGATTTCGACTTTCCAATATTCAAAAGCTGGCTGATTTTGGCGATTTTCTAGCCTCTAAAAGCCCAAAAAGTACGCCAAAAACGAGGGGAAACGGTTATCGCGTTAGTATCAATATATTAAACCTGAATTTGCATAATTTAACCAGTAAACTATAGTAAAAGCCCCGGGAAAAGCCTTGTTTGGCGGCCGGCTGTTTTGAGGGACGCGACGCGGCCGCAGCCCAGTCGATCGTACGAACAGAGGGAGGGAAGGGGGGGGCATTCTCTATTGCCCTCTCTCTCTCTCTCTCTCTCTCTCTCTCTCTCTCTCTCGTCTGTCTCTCTCTCACCCTCCCTCAATCTCCTGCTCAACCAACAATAACTGCCCCAAGGGCATTATCCACCCCATCCGGACAACGACTGGCCCGAATAAGGGATGGGAGGGGAGAAGAATCCGGGGGCGGCAATTACGCCACGATATTATTGGAGGGGGAGCCAGCAGAGATTCTTTGCGGATTTGCGGAATTGGTAAGCGCATTAGTGACAAAATGACACGCTATGGCTGGAAATTTTTGATAGATGGTTTTTTCTCCGCCATCTGCATCTCAAAAATCGCTTACGCCATGTTATTATTGTTGTCAGAACCGTATTTTACACCGTAAATGAGCAATAAATATTAGTTTAATAGCAAAGTGTATAGTATATTTTAATTAGCTCCGCGATTTAGCTATTAAGACTGGGTTCCAAGTACGAAAAAGTTGGACCAACTCCGACCTGGTAAAATCATCCACAATTTAAGTTCTGCAGCGAATGTGTTTCCCTTTAAGAAAATACCTAGATTATCACATTAAAGTTTCAGACAGATACAGGGAAAAAATGAATAGTTATATGCAAATCAGCGGCGGTTTTTGAAAATGTATCAAAAAAATGATAATAAAACGCGAAAACGAATGCTTAACCTGGATTCTTTTTGCAGAATTTTGGGAATAAAATAAAGCTTATCATTCTTGCAAGAAAGCTCTAAATTTGGCACAAACAGTCTGCCGGCTAGGGGGTGAGATGGTCGGTGCCAGGCGGGGGGAGGGTAATGCAGGCAGGCAATATGACTGGTTTGAAGCTATCAGCCTCCTTCGCCCTGTTTGTCTTGGGGAAAATCAACACCACGATATCAATCAGCCTCCAAAAGCTTGATATTTTCAATGTCTAACGGGCATTTTGTGGCAAACATCGGCTTGTGGGAAGTCGGGGAGCCGTTCAAAATTGATTTAGATCGTTTAAATAATTGTAATAGACAAAGCTGAGTGTCTAGATTTAGCCCTTCCAAACCCCTTTAAAAGACCAAAAATCAAAAAATCGTAGGATCCCCGCTGGAATTCGTAAAGGAACACCTGAGAGGTGGAGGAGAAGCGGGGCGTGGAATGGAGCCCCTCGGCGCTCAACAACAAACAATGGATGGAATAGATGGGGAAGGAGCGGGCCGAACGGGCCGGGGATGGACTATTCGAAGTGGAAGGAGGAGAAGAAGACGATCCATCGGTGCGAGGCTCGAAATATCTGCATCAACAGGGCTTACAGCGAAAAATCTGAAAAAAAATGGATTCAGCATCTGAAAAAATGTAAAAACCCATTTTTCCCAGTTCACGATCCAAAAAAAATCAACAAAAACGGCGATAAAAAGCGTTTAAGACTAGAAAGCGCTAACAATAACTTGGCTGGATATCGTTAATATCCAAAAGGTACGTACATTTTTCTAAAATTTTGGACTTGCTAGTAAAGAAAAGCATGCCTTTTCAAGGCGTGCATACAACCTGCATTCTAATGATTTTTAGGTGTTCAGGCTAAAACAGACCGAACTTACCGCGGCTCCCCGATTCCGCGAAATACGCCGAAAAGCCGCGAAAATTTCGGCTGATCTGGCGGGTGATAAGCATCCGACAGCCACCGAAAAGGCGATAATTCACCTGCAGATTGTCTGCTGATTTTTTGCGAATTTCTCCGTTTTAGAGAAGGTAAGCGAATGCCTCAATTAACGCTATTTCCTTTATCCTGTACGGTCTTTGCTAGCTTGCCCGAGCCTTCCACAAAACGCTATGACACATTATTGGGAAAAATTCCTAAATGGCTGCTACCGGCCCGGAAGTACCAGCGAAACCGATGGTTAAGAACTCCGCAAATGGTCTCTGCTAGCCTGCCTTGCATCATTGTCCGTTTTCCGGCGTTTCAAAGCCTGATTTTTACGTTTTGACGAGTTTTTGATAGCTTAAAAAATGTTATAAAGTGTCCCAGAGGCTTCTTGTAAGTTTAATATTATAAGCATCTTTTTTGGGCCTGGATTTTGTATGAATCCTTATTTCAAAACCTAATAAATTTAAAAAAACATTAATATGCTTGTCAATTAAAGTTTAACACCTAAATTTATGAATCCCAGCTTTAAAAAACCTGATCCTTTAAATTAAGCATAAAATCATAAAATCGCTGCTCTGAAAACTGGAAATTATCTCCGAAATTGAAGATTTCGAATTCAAAATCGGAGATGAAAATATATATCACAAAATATGCCGCTGATTTTGTTTTCCTCTATTTATTTGCGCCCCGCATTTATCGACCATCACACTGCAAAAAACCTCGCTTTCCACCACCCATCAAATCATTCGATTCCCATCCCGTACCTCGCAACACTTCCGAACCCCCATTCCTCGATTCCTCCCCTCCAAATGGACAGATTATGGATTAGCCGCAAAATTATCTCTGTTTATAATCTTGTGCCTCTTTTTAGTCTGGCCCTGGAACAAAGAAATCCGCATTTTATCACCCTGTCTGACCGGAGCAATGAGCACTCAAAGAGCGACCAAACCTTGACCATTTCAGCCGCGAAAATTATCTATTTTCTTTGGTAGTGTTGCGTACTCGCTGCAAGCACGCTATAATGGAGAAGGAAAATGGCTTTGTTGACTTTTTAAATGATTTGTTTGCTACTTTTTACGAACAAAAGGAATTTTTCTAATTTTCTATTTATTTAGTCGCCTAGTTCTAAAGTTTAATTTCCTTCTACTTCTCATCTACTTTTCCTAAGATTTTGTTACGTTTTAAATATAACGTCCTTTTTTGGATTTACAGATGTATTTCATGTTCTCTATATACCCTTTCCTTTCAAATCGTCAGTCGGGAAGATTTTAGCCAATTTTCTCGGAACAGGCAGTGCCAGCAACAATGTTTCGAATTCCTCGATTTTTTTGCGCATTTTTCCTCTTTCCCTATTTTTTTAAATTCATATTTTTCTTATGTTTTTCGCGCTTATCTGCACTGATTTTCTCAGTTTTAAAATTGCCAAAAATCTTTGCAAAATGCAGGTAATAAATGGCGATCCAGCAGAAGCCGGAGAAAAACTTCTTCTTTGGCATCGGCTTCCTCCGATCGCTTACGGTAGAATTGATCTAAAATTCATGATGTGCAAATTTTGTAAATTTAAACATCATTACTTAAATTTCAGACTTTATTCCCGATCCTGTACCCACGATGGGAGTACGCTGTACTATTTACAGCCCTTACCGGTGCAGCGGCGGGCGGGTGTAGGTTTTTATGACTGGAAAAGTCTAGGGAGCATATTAAAGTATTTATAGTAATGTAACCCTTCCTCAAAACGCAAATTTTCAGTCGAAAAAGTCAACTATGACACGGGTATGATGATTGGCAAGTTCTACACAACACTATCGATGAAAGATGAGCCTGGATTCTGGCATGTTTTCTGGAAGGCAACGGCTTGGTACGCTGCTCAATGCGCGGTCAGTAATGATTCTTTGACTGCGGCTATTATATTTCGCTTTGAACGTTTCATTAAAAATGATGCAAATAAATGTTTAACTCGTGTTTTAGCTAAGCGCCCTGATCTCGTTTTTCTCCTCGGCGCTGTATCTGGCGTTCCGAAACAATTTGACGAAATATTTGCACCAACGCTACTTCTCTAACAACGTGTGCTATCAATTGAATTCTGTGGATAATGAGGGGCTAGATAATCCGTAAGTTTACAAGAAAGGGGCGAGAGAGAGAGAGAGAGAGAGAGAGAGCGAAAGAGAAGGATAGATAGAAGGAGAGACAGAGATAAATCGTAACTTTTTAGCGATCAACGTATGTCGCAAGACGTCGAGAAGTTCTGCAACTTACTGGCTGTTCGGGTTTTCCCCAACTTTCTGGTGGCCCCGTTCGTCGTTGGCTATTACACGTGGAGGACGTGGCATACGTAAGCATAATTTACATACGATGAGACAAATTATTTTTAGCTCTGGCGGTGTTGGAGTCGGGGTAATCTACGGATACTTCTTGATCGGTTCTTTCGTCAATGCCTTCATCATCCAACCCATGACAAAATGGGCTGGGAAGGTTGAGAAGGCGGAGGGATGTTTCAGGTAGGTAGCAGCTTAATCGGAATATTCTTTTAGGATCTCAAAATTATTTATAACAGGCGCGATTTCGAGTCGTCTGATGCTCCATTGACACCCTGATGATTCAGATACAAGCACGTCTCGGTCCGTGACAACGCTGAAGGCAGCGCCTTTTACCGCGCCGACCTCTTCGAACTATCCGAATGTGACCGCCTCTTCAAAAATCTCCTTAAAAAACAAGCCTACTTCGTCGGCTTCAAGGCGCCCGTTATGTGTAAGTATCACCCACAAGCTTTGTGAAGCGCTTCGACTTTTTAGTCTGGCAAAACTTCTTCAGCTACTTCGGTGGTGTCCTCACTTATGCCATCCAAGTCATCCCAATCTTTTGGATGCACTCCTACGATGACTACGATCCGATGGAGTTTGCCGGGCAGCTGAGCAACGTGAGTTTTGAGCCAAATCTAGCGTATAGGTATCGTTTAGAACGCGTTCGTCTTCATGTACCTCATCAACAGTTTCACAAAGCTTACGGATCTGGCGAGTAGCGTTGGCGAGATGGCGGTGTATTCGCAGAGGTATGACCAAACTAACATTTCGCTTAACTGAGGAGAATCACCTAAAAATCTGGTGTATAACCTTTTGTTCAGAATTGCGGATCTCGTCTCCTTCACCAAAGAAGCTTCGGTAAAAGCAAACTGCTTCGAAAATGCCACAGCCGGAGGAAAACCCAAGTCGTCGTACTCCCTTGTGGTCGATAAGCTGACCTATGGACCACCTCATTCTAATGACATTCTTATCCGAGGTAACGTAACTTCGAATACGATATTTTGACGTAAAATCCAAAACAAATTTCAAAAATTTAGGTCTGTCCGTTGGAGTCCAAGAGCGCTCCTCGCTACTCATCACCGGACCGAGTGGCATCGGAAAAACCTCGCTATTCAGAGTGTTGGCCAAGTTGTGGAATAAAAATTCAGGTAATTCAGTTCCGGTACCTTTAGACCTATCAAGAAACGTTAGGAGATATTACAGCAGGCGAATTCCCATTTCTAGGCATCGTCGAACTCCCGACCGGTCGTGGCCATCTAATGTTCCTCCCACAAAGACCGTATTTGCCAAGTGGTGGTACTTCGCTACGTCAGCAACTCCTTTTCCCAAGCCAGGCCCCGAGAAAGTAGGAACCAGATACCTTCATGATGAGAAGGATTTCCAGTATGGCCACGGTGGTCGGGGATGCGAAACTGGAGAGCGTACTGTCGTCAGTCGGCCTATCGCATTTGATCTCGATGGCCGGAGGGCTGGATGAGGAGGCTGATTTTGAGTGGTAGGAATTTTCAAATACTAGGAAGTAAAAGTCTGAAGAAATAGGCATCTGAACGAGTTGACGAAACTCCTCATTTTAGGGCCGAGCGTCTAACGCCTGGTGAAGCTCAACGTCTCTCGATCTGTCGCGTTCTCTTGACTCAACCAGCTCTCGTCTTCTTGGATGAAGCAACAAACAGTGTTCCTGTCGATATGGAGAAGACAATTTATGGATTGTTGAAAGAGGTACAATTTAGAATTTAGAGTCGTTTGCCAAAAACGATGACTCTCCAATGAAAAAATGTTTTTCATAATTCGGTAATAACCATCTTTTCTCAGCATTTGTGGCCTTTTATAGAAAAGTAATGATAACTTTTCAGGCAAAAATCAGCTACATCTCCACCGGCCATCAGGCCACCCTTCGATCCTATCACGACATGGAACTCCAAATCCACGGCACCGACCAGCACTCCCTACTTGCCATTGAAAACTCACAAATGTAACCCTGCCATTTTTGTGCTGCGATCCATTGTTTTTTTCATTTATTCATTGTTATGTGGTAATTTGTCAGGACCCGGGAATAAAGCTTTACACGGATATTCAAAATAAGATGGCAAAGTTCAACAAAATCGAAAAATACAGACCTTCCTGAATCCAGATCGGTCCCGGAAACATCAATCGCGTTCCGGCGTGAACTCTGCTCCCATAAAATCAATTCGATTGGGAATTTATTGCAAAAAATCGGCTTGTTGCCGCCTACATGGAGTTTGATTCGCTCGAAAAACGCAATAACCACACGGACTATTTCATTTCATAACATTTCGTTATCCTGGAAGCATGATGGCGACTATGAGTCAGCGCGTAAATTATGCATGCAGACCCCAAGAGTGTGAAGTTTTAGTGTTTAAACGTCGAGTTGCGAGTATTTTGGCCCTTTTGAGAGCAACAGCCGATAAAAATCCTCAAATTGATTCATTCGGCGACCTAAAGAAAAATTCAGTTCTAAATTTTAACTATTTACAGCCCTTACCGGTGCAGCGGCGGGCGGGTGTAGGTTTTTATGACTGGTAAAGTCTAGGGAGCATATTAAGTATTTATTTATAGTAATGTAACCTTTCCTCAAAACGCAAATTTTCAGTCGAAAAAGTAAACTATGACACGGGTATGATGATTGGAAAGTTCTACACAACCCTATCGATGAAAGATGAGCCTGGATTCTGGCATGTTTTTTGGAAGGCAACGGCTTGGTACGCTGCTCAATGCGCGGTCAGTAATGATTCTTTGACAGCCGCTATTATATTTCGCTTTGAACGTTTTATTAAAAATGATTAAATGTTTAACTCGTGTTTTAGCTAAGCGCCCTGATCTCGTTTTTCTCCTCGGCGCTGTATCTGGCGTTCCGAAACAATTTGACGAAATATTTGCACCAACGCTACTTCTCTAACAACGTGTGCTATCAATTGAATTCTGTGGATAATGAGGGGCTAGATAATCCGTAAGTTTACAAGAAATGAGAGAGAGTGAGTGAGAGAGAAGGAGGGATAGAAGGAGAGACAGAGGGATAAATCGTAACTTTTCAGCGATCAACGTATGTCGCAAGACGTCGAGAAGTTCTGCAACTTACTGGCTGTTCGGGTTTTCCCCAACTTTCTAGTGGCCCCGTTCGTCGTTGGCTATTACACGTGGAGGACGTGGCATACGTAAGCATAATTTACATACGAGGAGACAAATATTTTTAGCTCTGGCGGTGTTGGAGTCGGGGTAATCTACGGATACTTCTTGATCGGTTCTTTCGTCAATGCCTTCATCATCCAACCCATGACAAAATGGGCTGGGAAGGTCGAGAAGGCGGAGGGATGTTTTAGGTAGGTAGCAGCTTAATCGGAATATTCTTTTAGGATCTCCAAATTATTTATAACAGACGCGATTTCGAGTCGTCTGATGCTCCATTGACACCCTGATGATTCAGATACAAGCACGTCTCGGTCCGTGATAACGCTGAAGGCAGCGCCTTTTACCGCGCCGACCTCTTCGAACTATCCGAATGTGACCGCCTCTTCAAAAATCTCCTTAAAAAACAAGCCTACTTCGTCGGCTTCAAGGCGCCCGTAATGTGTAAGTATCACGCACAAGCTTTGTGAAGCGCTTCGACTTTTTAGTCTGGCAAAACTTCTTCAGCTACTTCGGTGGTGTCCTCACTTATGCCATCCAAGTCATCCCAATCTTTTGGATGCACTCCTACGATGACTACAATCCGATGAAGTTTGCCGGACAGTTGAGCAACGTGAGTTTTGAGCCAAATCTAGCGTAAAGGTATCGTTTAGAACGCGTTCGTCTTCATGTACCTCATCAACAGTTTCACAAAGCTTACGGATCTGGCGAGTAGCGTCGGCGAGATGGCGGTATATTCGCAGAGGTATGAACAAACTAACCTCTCGCTTAACTGAGGAGAATCACCTAAAAATCTGGTGTATAACCTTTTGTTCAGAATTGCGGATCTCGTCTCCTTCACCAAAGAAGCTTCGGTAAAAGCAAACTGCTTCGAAAATGCCACAGCCGGAGGAAAACCCAAGTCGTCGTACTCCCTTGTGGTCGATAAGCTGACCTATGGACCACCTCATTCTAATGACATTCTTATCCGAGGTAAAGTAACTTCGAATACGATACTTTGACGTAAAACCCAACACAAATCTCAAAAATTTAGGTCTGTCCGTTGGAGTCCAAGAACGCTCCTCGCTACTCATCACCGGACCGAGTGGCATCGGAAAAACGTCGCTATTCAGAGTGTTGGCCAAGTTGTGGAATAAAAATTCAGGTAATTCAGTTCCGATACCTTTAGACCTATCAAGAAACGTTAGGTGATATTACAGCAGGCTAATTCCCATTTCTAGGCATCGTCGAACTCCCGACCGGTCGTGGCCATCTAATGTTCCTCCCACAAAGACCGTATTTGCCAAGTGGGGGTACTTCGCTACGTCAGCAACTCCTATTCCCAAGCCAGGCCCCGAGAAAGTAGGAACCAGATCCCTTCATGATGAGAAGGATTTCCAGTATGACCACTGTGGTCGGGGATGCGAAACTGGAGAGCGTATTGTCGTCAGTCGGCCTATCTCATTTGATCTCGATGGCCGGAGGGCTGGATGAGGAGGCTGATTTTGAGTGGTAGGAATTTTCAAATACTAGGAAGTAAAAGTCTGAAGGAATAGGAATCTGAACGGGTTGACGAAACTCCTCATTTTAGGGTCGAGCGTCTAACGCCTGGGGAAGCGCAACGTCTCTCGATCTGTCGCGTTCTCTTGACTCAACCAGCCCTCGTCTTCTTGGATGAAGCAACAAACAGTGTTCCTGTCGATATGGAGAAGACAATTTATGGATTGTTGAAAGAGGTACAATTTAGAATTTAGAGTCGTTTGCCAAAAACGATGACTCTCCAATGAAAAAATGTTTTTCATAATTCGGTACTAACCATCTTTTCTCAGCATTTGTGACCTTGTTATAGAAAAGTAATGATAACTTTTCAGGCAAAAATCAGCTACATCTCCACCGGCCATCAGGCCACCCTTCGATCCTATCACGACATGGAACTCCAAATTCACGGCACCGACCAGCACTCCCTACTTGCCATTGAAAACTCACAAATGTAATCCTGCCGCTTTTCTGCTGCGATCCATGTTTCACTTATTCATTGTTATGTGGTAATTTGTCAGGACCCGGGAATAAAGCTTTACATGGATAGTCAAAATAAGATGGCAAAGTTCAACAAAATCGAAAAATACAGACCTTCCTGAATCCAGATCGGTCCCGGAAACATCAATCGCGTTCCGGCGTGAACTCTGCTCCCATAAAATGAATTCGATTGGGAATTTATTGCAAAAAATCGGCTTGTTGCCGCCTACATGGAGTTTGATTCGCTCGAAAAACGCAATAACCACACGGACTATTTCATTTCATAACATTTCGTTATCCTGGAAGCATGATGGCGACTATGAGTCAGCGCGTAAATTATGCATGCAGACCCCAGGGGTGTGAAGTTTTAGTGTTTTAACGTCGAGTTGCGAGTATTTTGGCCCTTTTGAGAGCAACAGCCGATAAAAATCCTCAAATTGATCCATTCGGCGACTTAAAGAAAAATTCAGTTCTAAATTTTATCGAAATCCCACACGTTTTACCTCTTTCCGTTTTCTGAAATTTCCTGGTCATGCCGTAAGGTTCAATGCATTAAAGCATGGATCTTCGAAGTCCCAAGAGGTGAGATTACCGCAGCATTACGAGAAACGGGCTGGAAATTCTACCTTTAATGCATTGAGCCTTGAAAGGATCTCACGAGACCCTACCCAAGCCTGTTTTCTGGAAACGAGCATGATGCTATAGGGTGATTTTAGTGGATTTATAAAGACGATTGTTTCTTTAAAGAACCGGGCGAGCAGACTCTTCGAATTTTGCCAGATTTCGCTGTTTCTCCCGTATCAGCCCACAGCGCACTCATGAGAGTCGTAAGAGCGTGCAGATGGGGAAACGCTTTCCCCAGTTAGCCTTTTTGGCGGGAAAGGGTAGCAACCATTTTCTAGCCGAAGAAAAATCCTATGTCAGGTCGCAGTCCCTCTCGCTGAGAATATTCCGAAATCCCTCACAACTTCCCTCTCCCCTCCACCGATAGATCGATCAGTGGCGCGCTTTTTTTGCCTCTCCCTCTTCCCTCCCAGTTTTCAGTTGGCACTGCCAGCACACTTGAACACCCCGCATCTGCGCGCACACACACACACAGAGACCGGGCTTTTTGGCGTTTGGCCTTTGTTCTATCAGAACTGATTGTCTGGCTTTTCACTTCCTATGGACTTTCCTGATCTGTACTGTTTACTTATCATTTTCTGCTACTGTTTGATCCGTTTTGCGTGGTAATGGAGTTATATTGCTCTCTTTCTACCCTTGCTGTTCGTTTCATTTTTTAAGATTTACCTAGGTGAGTTTTTGTGTATAAGTTTCTATAAGGTTTTATCTTCTTTTTTTCGGTTTTCGAGTGTCTTTATTACAGTCCCGCGATCTTGTGATTGTTCCTGTTTGAATTGCTATTTTTTCACGACTGTTTTTATTTGGTCACTGATGGTTTTTGCGAACATTTTTTGGCGCGCTTTTCTGTTGCGACAGATCTTTTGCCAAGAAAATAGTGCTTTCAGCCCAGCGCGTGATGCGAGAATTTTCTTGCAGAAAACAATTTCAGAACGTGATCTTATCGAATCCTCCCTCCGCGCTATTCTAGATTCTTTTCTTGGCTTTTAGGTCTTCTCATTTTAATTTGGGCTTTTCTCGTAGATCTCATTTTTCACAGTTTTGGTTGTGTAAGTTAAGGGGCTGCTAATTTATTTGATCGATAGCGTAATTTTTTATTTTTTAAATTGTTGTTGATTTCGCGATTACTGTATTTCATTAGCCGAAATCGGTTTTATAACCTTATACTTGGGCTAAAATGAGCACGATCATTTCCTTGCGTTACACCCCCAAG